GAAGAGTTTGTTACTCGATATATTTCTGTAGAGGAATTAATGAAATGAGTTAAAACTTGTGGTCTGCAACTGCAAGAACATAGTTTGAAAGTGGAGACCTCAAAAGGCATTATCATGACACTTTTTCAAACATAACAAGTGGTTTTACTTTGTGAAACGGACTCAGGTCTCTCTGGTAAAGACACTGGGATACAGACCAAGCGTATAATCAGAGGAGAGATGTACGAAAGATATTGGAAAGCCAATGGCTACAAAAACTTAGACATCGTATCGAAAGAAACTGGTCAAGTGATTGGCAAGAAGAGGCCTCTCAGTTTCTACGTTAAAGGCGAGAAGAAACCAAAAGCAAGTGGTTTACTATCTCCACGGCGGTGGCTCCTTGCAAAACCAAGTTCTCTGTCACATCACAGAACCATGATTCTCTTTTGTTAAATCAGATCCCAATAATAAAAGTAATCTCTGAGATATTTTTGATCTTCAGGAACAGAGCAAATCTCAGAAACAGAACAAGATAACATTTCATATCAATTATGCATAAGATTTGAGAGCTAAGGCAGAATATTAGAGAACTTAACTGCTTTCCCAATGATTATTGTATTAAGACTTTCTACCATAATGAACGTTATTGGAAAACAAATGACTGCTTCATCGTTTTGAGAAAAAGTGATGGTTCAATTGGTGTTGGCTTATCGGGTCATAGTGGGCTCGGAAGACCATGGCTCGTAATCCTTCCACCGTCAAGAGCGGGAGGTGGACGCTGCTCTGTGAAACCAGCCTCACGCAGTCTCCTCCGCTCTAGGAGACAAGCGACCCGAGCCTTCGCTCAAGCCACATGCCTCAACTCCCAACTTGGAATGGGCGAGCCAGAATATAGTCCAACCCGAACCCGGCCCAATGAGATCAACCCAACGTTCCATCACTTTGATGTCTCCACTTGGATCACAAGCCCACGTTACTAAGCTCGACGTTATTATTTAGTAAACTTGGCGATTATATACAACAAAGAAAAGCTTTGTTCTTTCGATGTGGGACAAATGGCTTTTACTTACTTATTAAACGTCTTCTTCCTTAATGAGAGTTTTTTAGTTTATTTTTCGATTAAGGAAAAAATCAGAAAATGTAAATCTCATCTTGTTCAGGTGCATAAAAATCTCGTGCTTTGCTTATCAGATTCCAATCCAAAATGTATTAACAAGAATTACCTTGTAGATGCATTTCAGATTTACTTTGATGGTTAACCAGAATTGAAAGTATAAATAAAATAGTCCTTCCTTTTTCAATGATCGATCCAAAATGTATTAACATGAATCATGATTGTGTCAAAAATGCCATCCACTTTCAAAAAAATTGGAACAACTCTTTCAAGAAGAAAGAGAAAAAAACGGAAAACAAAAAATTCTCCTCTATTTACAAGGAACAAGTCTATCTCTAACTCGAAGAACAACATGTTGGATTATCATCATTGGAGCCGAGAAGTCACGGTGATGAAGGTATCTACGGGACAGGGGATTGTTAAGCCACCCATCGGATGATCGAACCCAAACTCTTCTTCAGATTTGCTAAGAAGAGCTTGAAATGAAGGTTGGCTTAAGTATGAGATTGGCACCACATATCTCTTCTTTTGGCTCTCTCCGACGTACACCGCAAGAAACCCTTTTGGCGCCACCGAGGCTGCTCTTTTACTTGTTGAGGCTGCTGCCGTTATAGAGCGGCCAATAATCTTCTTTGCACCCAATAGACTTCTCACCAAAGCCATTTCTTTTCTTCTTTTTATCTTAAAGTTTGATTTCTCTTAAAGCTTGTGAAAATGTAAGAAAGCAAGTTATTGGATTGGTTGTTGTTGGTTGATAATAGGAAGAATGGGATATGTGTATTATATATAGGAAAAGGTCAATGAAGGAGTTGAAACCTCTATGAAATCTTTGAATTTGTGGTCTTAAACCGTGGGACAGACTAGAACAAAGTTTCACATGGTTCTGTCTTTACTATATGGAAAAGTTTAGCTAACTGCAATTTGTCTTGATTAGATCATTATTTGAGTGTGTGGGAATAAACTGATAACAAGCTCCATATACATATTCACAAGGGACTGTTTTCTCAATGTTTTTTAGATAAGACATGAATTTGTCAATAACAAAGACCATCAAGCTTCTCTCCTTCATGTTCTTTGGTTGGTTATTTGTCCTAGTCCCTCGTCTCTGTGGTCTAAATGTATTTAATAAGAAATTAAAGTGGGGACCTGAAGTTGCTTAACAACAGAACAACAAGTCTCTGTCAGCGGTTAAGTTGTTCTTTTATGATATCCACAACAAATAGGATTACACATGACAGCTATAAGTAAGAGAAGATTCTTTTGGAGAAAATCTCAGAAACATTGAGAAAACAAGCCCTTGTGAATTGCATATGGAGATTATCCAAGTAGACAAATTGCATTAATGCATCGGCTCCAGATTGCTTAAGACAGAACCATGTGGAAGCCTGTCCCACGCTTTAAGACCACAAGTTTCAATGATTTTTTTTAGAGAAGACTATAACTCACTCGTGGACCGCTCTATATATACACACAATACCTATTCTTTCTTTCATCAACCAACAACAAGCAATCCAATAGCTTCAATCTATACATACATTTTCAGAAGCTTCAAAAGAATTCAAAGTTTTCACACAAAATATATATAAATGGCTTTGGTGAGAAGTCTACTGGGTGCAAAGAAGATTCTTGGACTCTCCTCCTCCGCAGTTTCTACGAGCAAAAGAGCAGCCTCGGAGGCGCCAAAAGGATTCCTTGCGGTGTACGTAGGAGAGAGCCAGAAGAAGAGATATTTGGTGCCAATCTCATACTTGAGCCAGCCTTCATTTCAAGCTCTTCTCAGCAAATCCGAAGAAGAATTTGGGTTCGATCATCCAATGGGTAGCTTAACGATTCCTTGTCCTGAAGATACCTTCATTAACGTAACGTCTCGGTTCCAATGATGATGATCCAATATTTTTTTTTTCTTGAGAGTTAGAAATAGACTTATTCATTGTAAGATAGATTACCTTTTTCTCTCTTTCTTCTTGAAAGAGATGATTTTAGAGTGAATGCCATTTTTTATGCAACAGCCTTGTAATATGGGATCATGTCAAATACAATTTGGAATTTTGGATCGATTGAAAAACAAGACCACAACATTGCCTTGTAGTAGATCTATTTTAATATGGGATCATGTCAATACATAGAAGAACTATTTTAATTTAGATAACATTAAACGAAAACATTATCAATCCGGATCCGTGGCGCAATGGTAGCGCGTCTGACTCCAGATCAGAAGGTTGCGTGTTCGATTCACGTCGGGTTCAAAATCCCCGAATCTCTCCCTGGAATTATTTTTTCTTTACTTCCTCTTTTTTCCGATAACATTTTTTTTTACTTCCATCTCCTTTTTTTTCATCTGAAATTAGATATATAGATATGAGACGATAATTACATCCAAACCGCCAAAAAAGGAGGCATCAGCCCATTACTACAAGCTATACACATGACCTTCATTACTACAGGGTTTACTTCCATCTCCAGATTTCATTCCTTTTTTGCTGCGTTTCATCCGGTTCGACTATCTGGTTCGGTAGTTTGATTTTTCTTAACCGAAAATCTTAGTTCCGGTTTGAATCTTAGTTAGGTCTAAAGACTCTAAACCAATTCAGACACTCATCAAAGAAGAATTTCAGGCTGTCTTCAATTATCGAAATTTTTACGAAAATTATTTAAAATTGAAAACATGCGAAATTACTCGTAATTAAATCCATACTAGATTGTTTACAAACATCAAACGCGAGATTATTCGAAAAAAATATTTTTTAAAATGGTTTCTCTCCCATATAAATAAATATATTTTATTTTACAAAATTTAATTTGTATGACACTTAGAATAAATGGACGCGCTTTTGATGTAAAATGAAATACGTATGAGATTATCGATTTTTTTAAACTTATTTGAGTTCACAAAAATCAAAAGACATATCGCGTTAGTATGTAATAATTTTTTTTTTAAAATAATAAATATATAACAAAATGATAATGATAATTTTTTGAATTCCAAAGATTAATGTTTGATTTGTAAAGTTGTATGATTATAACAAAAGCACAACTTTAATTAGAATAATATAGATACAATTAAATAATATAAAAAAATTGTATAATCAATTACATATGTATTTAAATGGACATTAATACAACTTTTATAAAGTAATTGGTATCTGTAAATGATTCATCGTTAAAAACTATGTTATGTAACATTTTAATATACATTGTAGTTGGATTTTAAATTTGTAACACATATATTTGTGAGTTCATGTTAAAACAAAT